AAGGAGTGGCGTGATACTAGTCACGTAACCTCGCTGACGCAACAATATTATAATCTAATAAAAAACACCTTAGGTGAGAAAAAAAAAAAGATGTGGCCAAGAAAGGATTGAACATACGACTTAAATGAATGAAATCAAAATTAACGGTCTAACTGGTAGCTACACTTATAGCATTGATAATAATTTGACAGAAAATATTCGTTCACTAACTAGCCAGGCTACGTTTTTTGTTCAATTTGGAGCATAATGGTGGGTAAAACAAAATACGCGGCCTAGCTAGCTAATGAATGAATATTGGATCTAAAATTCTTATCAATGCTACAAGTGTAGCTACTAATTTGGCCAGCAGTTTTGGATTTCATGTTAAACCCTTTTTAGGCCACACCTTTTTTTCACATCTAAGGTGTTTTTAATTAGATATCATGACTTTTTGTCAATACACACCAACAAACCACAGAAAGTAAGAAAGTGACACTCAGTAGTAACTCACATTAGCTTTAGGATCGCAACCCTATTATTCGGAACAGACCTATACTTTACATAATTAACCAGATTCTTTAAAATATATGGTGGTAGTTTTCCTCTCTAAAACAGTATTAATAACTTTCTTTACAGTGTCGCCATGGAATCTGCAGTAACTGTTTTTGGTCATCACCCGCATGCACTTGGTACAGCGATATCAAGCATAGTTATTTACGCTAATTGCTTAAGCTAATATCATGTGACGCTTAGCGCTCTTTAATTAGGAGACTTTGATAAAATTTAGCAACGAATAATAAATAATACTCGCCCACCCGTATGATTCTTTTGAAAACTTGAGCTAGAAACTTATAATCTAGTTTGCTTGGCCTAACCGATACTTGTGTATCTGCACTTTCTTTCACCCTATAGTTTTGATACTCTAAGTCAGCCGTCTTTAATATCAATGACAAAAACTAAAAACGGTCCAATTTTAATTATAGATGAAGCAGTAGTAAAAATTTTAGCCCGATAGCTCACGTGATTTTTTTCGTTGGCGTGCGCAAACATTTTGGTCCATCAAAATTGAGCGGTTTTGTTGACTAGCTTTGCACATGTGGCTTATATTTAGACCAAATATGACATGTAATTGTAGGTTGTAAAGATCTATCAGTGTACCAAATTTGAAAGAAAAAATAATAAAAGTTAAGTATGTTTCTCTATTAAATAAAATTTCCCTACTTTCAGTGCAAAGAAGAAAAAAGAGGAAGAAATTCAATCAAAATTGGAAATTTTATATCTTGTTCGTTTTTTAATGGATTGCCTTGAAATTTAGTATGTGAAGTAAAGGTCCAGTAGAGCACATTCACTGAAAATATGTGACAGTTTAGACAGTTCCACTCAACAAAGAAAAATTATCTAAAAAAGTTTAAATCGAAAAAAAAATGTTTTTACTGGGGTGAACTTGTAGGCCTAACATTACAGCCAACATTTGAACAGATATTTTGAAACTAATGGTACATTCGCCTAATTCATTTATCAAGTTACTTGCAGAATTTACTCACTAACTGATTGACAATAAGCATGCTTACTGACAGATTATAATTGTTGTACAGACTCACTAACTCTCATTGTCTAAAGTCCCTAACTGACACTGAACTGAATATCTCATTGATTATTGAATAATTAATCGAGTCTGGTATTTATATTGTACCCTTATTTCTGTATACTACATGAAACCTCCAGTTTCTTAATTTCTAGATACTGCGTGATCATGATGTAATAATATGCTCCCTCTAGTAAACACCTAAATTAAAATATTAAAAACATAGCTTACGACAGTATAACAACATAGTAACAAAGAAACAATTCATAAAGGTTACGCAAATAAGATACTAAATGAAATGTTTGCAATATATATATTTTATGAATCTGCTACACAAAATGAAAAATATAAATTTATAGCAATAAAAGTTTAAAAAGTTACATTAAAACATTAGAAAAAGTTTTTATGGATAAATATTTGTATTCAATACTAAACTTATTAGGTGTTAGTTTAATATTTTGTTGATAATTTAAATAAATAGTAATTAATTCAAGTTTACAGTTAATTAGTCGATTCCTCACCAAACGAAAGAACGATTATCCTTAGAGGGCGTGCTGATTGGGTGTCATCATAGAATTGTATATTTAATACCTGTATGGGTGACGCTGTAGGGAGGGTAGAAGATCGTTTAATTTTTTACCGATTATATGAGTTATCTATTTCAAAGTGTTTAAAAGTAGCTATGATATAACCATAGAACACGATACATTTTTAGTGATTGATGTGCATCTTAAGCAAACAAATTTTGGGTTCAAATAAGGAGACTAACTAGGACAGTATTTTTCGCACTACCGACTGTACCGTCGTGATTTGGGAAGTGCAGGCAGTAACCTATGTTCTATCCTCCCACGACGATTTCCATAATCCTTATTTCTCGGGGCCCCAGTAAGCACAATATTCTTCATATTTATAACGAATTATAATTGTATTCCTTTTTCATGGAAGAATGTTGTATTCATTTCAAAATATTTGGTACAAATTAAAACTAATCTTGAAGTTGAAGTTTAACATAATAAATACCGGAAATTGTAAAATAGTTTTCAAAAGTCAATGATAGACCAGAAATTAATTGAACTTGAACCAAAAATACATATTTTTGGAAACTTTCTCGTGTTAAATGAAACTGTTAACCACAAAAGGTATAGCCACTTTCATTTTTTACTTAGGACAGTGCATCTTAAAATGGAAAGAACAGTGTTGGTCACAGTGTTATCATTATGCATTTAATAATTTATTATGCTGAAAATAGTCTACTTAAGTATTTAATAAAATTATGTCAGCTAAAAGGAACAAAACAGACTTAACTTTTATTCGAGATGGGAAGTTATCTAGGCAAGCTAGATCATTTAAAGAAGATTTTTTTGGTAAAATTGTTCCTAAAAAGAATCTTTTATCCCCAAAGAAAAATTCCAAATTAAGAGGGAAAAGAGTAGAAAGAAATTCTGAAAAAAAAGTTATCAAAAGTAGAATAGAAAATGAAATAGAAGACCTATATTCTGATGCCCAGCATCTTAAGAATGCATTGCGATATGTTCAGGAAGTTGTTGAAAAAAAAAAAACACTAGAAGTTTTACCAGGTTCTGCAAATGTGGTGTTAGAAACAGTTTTAAGTATTCAGTTAAAACTGTCAAGATTGTTTGATAATGACCAGTGCCTAGTAGTATCATCATCGTTTAAAGAAGTCTATAAAACCCTTGCAAATTTGGTTAAGTGGTCTGATAATGCTCTATACATTAGTAACAGTTATATTCTTGCCACAAATAATGTTGATGACATTATTAACCAATTACAAGAAGCAGTGGATGGTCTGGTCAAACTTTCGGTTGGTATTTTATCAAATACAGATAATAATTTGAATCAGGTTTTTACAAGTTCACTTAAAAACTCAAATATTCCAGATAACTTTCATGGGAAGTCATTGTTGGACATTCCATCAACTTCAAGAGAAAAAGGAACTTTAGAAAATATTAAAGTTCCAAACTTGTCTCAGTGCTCACCTAGTTTTCAAACCAGTGTGTCTAACTACTCAATTTTTCCTGATGATGTACTGCATTCTAGTATTCTTCAAATGAAAGAAGACATCCAACCTCCTATTTCACTGGGGATGAACTCAAATTCACAATACTGTATACTTCAACCACAACTAACAGACCTGGTATCCTCTCTTCCTCCAAAACAATGCAATACAGATATTGTGGTTAGTTCTGAGCCACATACTGAACATCCTAAAAGTCTTGTACAAAAACACAAATTTTATAGTTACTCTACTAGCAGTGCTTCAACTTTTGGCACTTCAACTGCTGGTAAGACTGAAACCACATCAGTAGGTTTCCCAAACTGGCATAGCCCAGATGATTTCTTTCCCTTATCACCTGTTGCTAAACTTGTGGATAGCAGTATTGACACCAACCATCAGTGCTCAACTAATGATTCATTAACAATGAGCAGTTCAAGAAGTTTTATGTATTCTCAAAAAGCCAAAGATGTAAGCATTCATCGTTCAGAAATTTCTCATACCAAAAGCTATAGATATCTTTCAACAAGTTTTAAAACCCCAAATTCAAAAGATTTAGGAATAATGATGGAACAGCATGTAAGTTGTATCTCAAAAGAAAGTAAACAAACTAATCATATAATCTCTTCTGGATTGGGATCAATGAACATTGATCTTGAGCATCCTGCTGTCCTTTCAGACAAACAAGGTACAGAAAGCAATTGTGAAAGACAGTCTCACTATGACAACAAAGCATCATGTAATTTTTTGTTTGTAGAAAAAAATGGTTTTGGCACAGTTAGCAATTCTATGTTGTCTGAAGCACATTCTTCACAGTCAGTTATAGACCATAAGAATTGGGTGGATACGAGTCACAAACATTCATGTTCTTTTCATAAAATTAAATGTACATCTGAAGTAAGTGAACCATCACCACTGCCTATGAAGAAGAAAAACATAGTGGCGTATATGCAGATGTTGGGTTCTTACCAACCAGATGAGAAAGATTTTTTTTACCATTCTAATTACACTTTCCATGCGATAGAGACACGTTGGCAAAAACAGAATGCAATACTGACCCACCCACAGTTTTTCAAGACTGCACAAGCATCCAGTTCAGATGATTCTGTAATTTCAGATGGACAGAGTAGTCTAAGCAGTTTTGGTGAGGAAACTGAAACAGCATCACCAGCAATGCCTCCAAAAAGGAGTGCTTTCTTACAAGCTTCAATCCTCGAATTAGAAAAAACTTGTTCAGAAGTGGGAGATAAAGGTACTTCTCTAGAGATTGAAAAACAAAACTTGCCAATTTCAAGTATGGATGAAACAGAATCCAACATACTAGATCGTCAAGATGTAAGTTCATATATTGTTTGGAAAAAACCAAATGAAGAAGGTCCAGAAATTCGAGGTGGTCCTGTAGACGCACTTATTGTCCAAGCTTCAAAAGCAGGAAAGAAGAGTTTTCTATATCAAGAAGCATTTCTTACAACGTATCGCACAATTATTTCTCCTGTTGAACTGATTGATAAACTTATTTACAGATTTAATAAATTTATTCATATGACTGATACTAAGGAGCGAGCTGCTCGAAATGCATTTTCTTTGTTGGTACGGGTTGCTGATGATTTGTGTGGGAGTGATATTGAAGATGGTGTTCTGCAGAAAATATCAGATTTTGTTCATCAGTTGGTTAGTACTGGAGAGTTAACATTTGCTAGAATTTTAAGAAAGAAAATTGTTGAGAAATGTGAGGTATATCGTTTTTCACAACAGTCCCTGCAGGTCCTCCTCACTTCATTGAATGTAACCACTTGTTCAGCATCTCTGTTAGATTTTAAGTCGGAAGTTTTAGCAGAACAGATGACCTTGCTAGATGCTGAACTTTTTCAAAAGATTGAGTTTCCAGAAGTGCTATTGTGGGTGAAGGAACAAAAGGAAGATTTGAGTCCCAATTTGACCTCTTTTACTGAACATTTCAACAAGATGTCTTATTGGGTGAGATCAAGGATTTTAGAGCAGAATGATGCTAGAGAAAGAGAAAAATATGTTAGCCGTTTCATTAGAATTCTAAAACACTTGAGAAAGCTAAATAACTTTAATTCTTATCTGGCTGTACTTTCAGCACTAGACTCTGCCCCCATTCGTCGTTTGGAGTGGCAAAAGAACATTACCGAAGCCCTGAAAGAGTACTGTGCTCTGATTGATAGCTCATCTTCCTTTCGGGCATACAGACAAGCTCTAGCAAACACAGAGCCTCCTTGTATCCCTTACATTGGTCTTATCCTTCAGGACTTGACCTTTGTTCATGTTGGAAACAGTGATTTCCTTCCTGATGGAAATGTCAACTTTTCCAAACGGTGGCAACAGTTCAATATTCTTGAAAAAATGAGACGATTTAAAAAACCATCCTATCCATTCAAGCGTAATGAACAAGTTATCAATTCCTTCGGTAAATTTAATGACCACTTGTGTGAAGAAGCTATGTGGCAAATCTCAGAGACAATAAAACCAAGAGGAGGTCAGAAGTGAAGTTTTAATTTCAAAATTATCCTATGTGTAGAACTGTATCTCCTAATAGTTTTTAAACTGGTTTCTATCTTGTAATATTTGTCAGTAATTCTTTATCTAAGGATGTATTACAAAAATCCTATAACCCGAGTGCAAACAGTTTGCCTCTGATGAAGAAAAGTCTATCTTTCAAAAGCACTGTGGTTATAGGGTCTTGTATTTTTTGTGTTAAATTGATATTTTGAACCTATGTGTTTTTGTAACATCATGAAAATGAGATGTATTACAACAGTATGAAGTAGAATATTGGTATGATGTATTACAATAGTAGGATATCAGTATGACGTAGGATATATTCATCCTTAATCTTCTCTTTGAACAAAATATTGCAATACTGGAGTGAATTTTTGCCAAAGTTGAAGAGAGGCCTAGAAAGTAACAATTCTGAATATTTTTTGTGACAATAAATATCTTTGCTTAGAAATATTAAACATACTTAAATTGAAAGAGGATTGTATTTTTATACTAATGAGATTAGTGAGTTGATGAAAACTGTTCAGTAGCCAAATACCAAAGTTTTTTAGAGCTGAACTTTTTTTAAAATTAAATTGATGCTATATTGAAAATTTACTTAAAATATTACCAAGATATTGTTTTTAACACTTGGGATAAAAAATTGCTTTTAAATGAGTTTGTCCTAAGTGTATCATTAAAATGTACATGTACAACATGTAGTTTCCTGATTTTATATTGCAAATTTAAATATGTGATATTCATTTACAATATACACAATTTTTGTTTATATATTTTTTGTTGTACTGTCTGTTTGTTTACTTCTATGTGATGTTATATATCAGTATGCACGTTTCATTTTCCTATTCACAAAAGACAAATACCTGTAATTTGCTTTTAACACTTCATCACCCATACTGTTTTTCAATCTTGTGAAGTAGTTTGGACATCTCAGCAGTAGGAACATGAATTTAACCATCAATTAGTAGCTTTTAATTTGTACATGAATGCAGTTATTAAGATAATTTTCTTCACTAACAGCAGTTGAATCTCTCTGCTGTTCCTTACCTAAACAATTTTTAATCATATACAGTTTATAAAGATACATAAGAATACTGTTACTTTTATTAATTAAATTCACTGTATCAACTCAGTTTTAATCTTAACAAAAGACAGAAACTTAGTGTACATCAGTGAATTGACACAACACATTGTAATGAGTTCATTTGTTAACCTAAATTATGCTTAATAAAAGAAGGACATAGTTTTAGAAAATAAGATCTGAAAACATTTATAAATAAAGGCACAAATATAGAAGATTAATTAATAATTAATTAATAGTAATAATACAGGATAGTAATCCAGAAATAAGGATGTTTATTTTAATGAAATCAAAATTTGAGGAGGAATATTTTTGTAGCAGCTTTCTGATATAGTAATCACATGCAGAAAAAATGAATTTTAATTAGTGACAGAAGCATTAATAATAAGCTTCTTTAGTTTCAACTTTTTAGTAACAAAGGCATAATTTATTAAAGAGTTCTCACTACATACTCAGAACATTAAAGTGTTTTATACCAGGATATTTTGATGTGTAATATGAAAATGCCTATGTGTCCTTTCTTTAAGTAATTTTGTTTTATTTTTCTGTAATTGATAGATTCCTCACTGTACTGAGTATTCTACATTACTAGCACCTTACAAACATTACAATGTTATCTCTTCTACCCCATTTACAACAATACTAGGAACAAACATCAAGTCTGTTGTAATACTTGTCACTTACTCCTTGGTGTCCTCCACACACACACACACTAAATATTTTCTGAGAAATTGAATAGTTTCAAAAATTTGGGACTATAAAGGATGAATAAATCTGTTGGATAAAACAACATTTTCAGATCTTGTACTTAATATCTGTTTATGGAACAAGGAGTGTAGAACTGAACTAATGCATTCTTTTTATATCTCCTGCCATAGCAAGATAATTCAGCTAAACTTGTCTTGTATCATTGCTTACTTGTATCTTGTAAATGCTAATATAGTAAAAATATTTCCTCTGTAAAACTAGGCAGCTTTATTTTCTTAGAAACTCTAAGATACTACATGTGATGAACAATGTTTTATAGAATTTCAAAAAGAGTGAATATTTTATTTATACTTTTGATTTCTTGACCTTTACTGTCCCTTTTAACACAATAATACTTTCCATAAATATTCTTGTACAAGTGAAATACTTATAATATTTTTGTGAATGTAAATAAAAGTAACAGTCATAAACTTCAAATATTTTTATATAACATTTTTTATAGAATTATATTTTGATATAACTGTAAACTGTATGTTATGAATATAATTTTGTTAAGATATACCAGAGTAGCTTAATTTGTGGAATTTTGTATTTTTTGGAAGTGACATGAAATTAAAGATTAAGCATTGAAAAACCTTTAAGAATGACTGTCATTATAAATTTGTTTTCTCAACTACCTTATGTATGACATAGTCACTATTGATTACAGGTGAATTTTTTATGTTTTTTTATTATTATTAAGAATAAAGTAACTTCTAGTTCTTGAGGTGAAGTTAATAGCCTAAATTCAAGGTAACATAAATTGGTTAGAAGTAACTTGTTTAGGAATAAACTAGAATAAAAAACACCCAGCAAATCAATGTGTAGCTTAAATAATGTAATATATATATATATATATATGTATGTATTCCATATTTGAGAAATAAAAATGCATTTTATATGATACACAAACATATGTAATTTTTTTTAGTTATTAAATATATCAAGCATGTTGAAAATGATGTAAGGAAAAAATTGCAAACTTTTCTGGCAGACAACATACATGGAGTATGTGTGTGAACATTTTATTTTACAACAGATCAAAGTGAGTTCTTGATAGAAAGGTTTAAATTGTTATTTTTCTACATTTTGAATATAGTTAAAATAACAATAATACTAATTGACCATTTTATTCTCAAACAACAATGACAAAAATGATAATTTCCTCTAATAAAACTTGTAGCAACAATGCTGATGTATACAGAAACTGTAGCAGTGTACTGTGACTTGTCAATCTTTAGTAAGACTGCTAACTCTAGTGGTTGTATAACTTGTGTGGCAACAATGCTGATGTATACAGAAACTGTAGCAGTGTATTGTGACTTGTCAATCTTTAGTAAGACTGTTGACTCTAGTGGTTTGTATAACTTGTGTGGCAACAATGCTGATGTATACAGAAACTGTAGCAGTGTATTGTGACTTGTCAATCTTTAGTAAGACTGTTGACTCTAGTGGTTGTATAACTTGTGTGGCAACAATGCTGATGTATACAGAAACTGTAGCAGTGTATTGTGACTTGTCAATCTTTAGTAAGACTGTTGACTCTAGTGGTTGTATAACTTGTGTGGCAACAATGCTGATGTATACAGAAACTGTAGCAGTGTATTGTGACTTGTCAATCTTT